GATATGGATCAAATCAGTGCTCGCGAGAGAATAAATGTGATACCGACCACCCGACCGAAAAGAGAGAAGATAAAAAGGCAACAGTAACGAGAGCGAACAAACAATGAAGTTGGAGCTCCTAGCGTACAGCCGTACCAACACTTTACTTTGGGGATCCCTGTTACCTTTGATGGATCTTTGGTCTCTTTGCGTCTGGTAAGTAAAACAGTTACCTTGCTGCACCTAAAGATATCTGTGGCCCCATCCACACTGCCATATAATTCACTTTGACTTCATTGTATGGTCAGTGTAGATTCATATAATGCGGATTGAACTGGATTATATGAGTCTACACTGCCATACAATCCAGTTCAGTCTGCATTATAATGGCAGTGCCCAGTGTCTAAGCAACTAAGCAACAGACCTTCGGGGAAGTACAGCTCTGAAAAGTTACATTTTGGGACCACAACCCTGAGAATGATTCTATGGTTGGTGATCTGCTAATGGAGTTGGGTTTGGGGAGACTTTTTTCCAGTGAGGAATGAAACTGTCTTGTTTTCTATTTGGAAAAAAAATCTATTTTTCCAAATAGACGATAAGACAGTTTCATCCCTCTGTGGCCCCCCGACTTTGGAACTCTTTACCTGGGAAAATCAAGAAAGCCCCTTCACTGGAAACATTTTAAAAGAACCTCAAAACCTGGCTTTTCCGCTGCGCCTTTGGCGAGTAGGTGCTCAGCATGATATTTTATACCCCCTCAACGTTTTTGGCTAATGGAGTTCGTGCCCTCCAAATAGGATGTTCTGCCCCACAACTCTGTGTGTTTTATGAGTTCCATTTAAACGTCCTGCTCCTATTTTATCTCATCATAGTCTGTTAATTGTTTTTATTCGGAATATGTGGCCCGCCCATTGTCATCTCTATCATGATTGTGTCTATTGGAATTTTTATTTTATTTTATTATTACTATTATTATTATTTTATTATTATTTTAATGTCATTTTGATAATGTTGTTGTTGTCTTGTATATGCTTTGATTTTATTGCTGTATTATGTTGTCCGGGCTTGGCCCCATGTAAGCCGCTCCGAGTCCCCATCGGGGAGATGGTGGCGGGGTAGAAATAAAGTTTATTATTATTATTATTATTAATCAATGAATCATAGAATCAAAGAGTTGGAAGAGACCTCATGGGCCATCCAGTCCAACCCCATTCTGCCAAGAAGCAGGAATATTGCATTCAAATCACCCCTGACAGATGGCCATCCAGCCTCTGTTTAAAAGCTTCCAAAGAAGGAGCCTCCACCACACTCTGGGGCAGAGAGTTCCACTGCTGAACGGCTCTCACAGTCAGGAAGTTCTTCCTCATGTTCAGATGGAATCTCCTCTCTTGTAGTTTGAAGCCATTGTTCCGTGTCCTAGTCTCCAGGGAAGCAGAAAACAAGCTTGCTCCCTCCTCCCTGTGGCTTCCTCTCACATATTTATACATGGCTATCATATCTCTCTCAGCCTTCTCTTCTTCAGGCTAAACATGCCCAGCTCCTTAAGCCGCTCCTCATAGGGCTTGTTCTCCAGACCCTTGATCATTTTAGTCGCCCTCCTCTGGACACATTCCAGCTTGTCAATATCTCTCTTGAATTGTGGTGCCCAGAATTGGACACAATATTCCAGGTGTGGTCTAACCAGAGCAGAATAGAGGGGTAGCATTACTTCCCTAGATCTAGACACTATGCTATTTATTATCATCCTTCACTGTTTTCAGTGCAAATCAACTGCTTGTCAATATTGTGCTGAATAGATTGCAAACAGCAGCTATTCTTGTGGTTCTGAAATTATTCTCTACAGGATTTCCCCATTTTTTCTCTCTTAATGCTCTTTCCATTTCCATGGTTGCTGTTTCTAGTTCTTCCTTACTAACATTGAACCTTTGTTGTACTGTTGTTCTTGGGAGCAACGTGAAGAGGGTTTCTGTGCTTTTGCAGGCGACCTGTCAATAACACCTGTCCTGTTTTCCTTCGCCAATAGTCCTGGGCCTGGGGGCAAAAACTGCCACGGAGCGAGTGTGGAGCACACAGTTTGTGAAAACCCGCCCTGTCCCAAAGGGACACCCACCTTCCGGGACCAACAGTGCCAGTCTCATGACCGATTCACCAAGAAGAAAAGCCTTTGGACCGCTGTCATCGTGGATGGTAAATGTTTACAGACTTATGTTGCTTCCCTTCCTTTGGTTTATCAATTAGTTTGGGGTTTGTCCAGAACAGGGTGCAGTTCACACATTGTCAGGCCAGAAAGGGGGGCTTGTAGGTCACATGTGTCAAACTCAAGGCCCATGGGCCAAATCTAGCCTGCCATGTCACTTTTACATGGACTACAACTCCCGTATTCCTAATCATTAGACGTCATGACTAGAGCTGATGGGATTTGGGATACAGGAAGTAAACATGTATATTATGTGAAAACTATATAACTCCCATGGTGATAAGGAAAATAGATAAATCTCATTTTGGGGAGTTTTTTTTTTTTTTTTTTGTGTCGGGAGCGACTTGAGAAACTGCAAGTTGCTCCTGTTGTGAGAGAATTGGCCGTCTGTAAGGACGTTGCCCAGGGGACGCCCGGATGATTTGATGTTTTATCATCCTTGTGGGAGGCTTCTCTCATGTCCCCATGAGGAGCTGGAGCTGATAGAGGGAGCTCATCTGCGCTCTCCCCGGATTCGAACCTGTGGCCTGTCAGTCTTCAGTCCTGTCGGCACAGGGATTTAACCCTCTGTGCCACCGGGGGTTCCTTCTATGTCGCTCATAGGGAAATTTTCAGATGAAAATCTATGTTGCTGATAAACATAGATGAAAATCTATGTTTACATCCAGAACCTGTATCTGTGGTTTCAACCTACTGCATGTATACGAACCCACACGATCTCTTCGTTCATCTGGAGAGGCCCTGCTCTCGATCCCGCCAGCATCGCAGGCGTGATTGGTGGGGACAAGAGAGGGGCTTTTCGGTGGTGGCCCCTTGACTCTGGAACTCACTCCCTAAGGACATCAGACAGGCCCCAACTTTGGCAGTCTTCAAGAGGAGCTTGAAGATGTGGCTCTTCCAGTGTGCCTTCCAGAATAATGATCCCATAGCACTTTGTCCTCCAAAGCACTTTACATTTCTTTAGGTCTGCTCGTATGCCCTTCCACAAACACCACTATCTCCTTTTCGTCTATGTCCCATCATTATTTCCAATTTTAACTGTACATTTGGCCTTCCCATTGTTTTTAATTGTGTGTTGTCTTACTGATAATGTTATATATTTTTATTGTCTATGTTTTATTTTTAATTGCTTGTGCTGTTGTTTATTGTCTGTATTGTTGTATTTGGGCTTGGCCTCGTGTAAGCCGCACCGAGTCCCTTGGGGAGATGGTAGCAGGGTACAAATAAAGTGTTATTATTATTATTATTATTATTATTATTATTATTACTAGCCTATCATTCTCAACCTCCAAAGGGGGACTCAGGGTGGCTTACAATGGCAGCAATTTGATGCTGACAACATACAAACACTGTGCTGTCACGCGCTGGGCCTGTGAAAGATTCTGTAGACAGGACGTGTTTTCTGAATACCCAACGGTACACCGGGGGTGCCTTGGCTGAGAGGCCCTTCGGATTTCCCCACACAAAGTTCTTTTAAAGACTTAGAAAGTTCAACAAAGTTTTTATTGTTGCTTAAATCTTCAATAAATCAAACAAATACTTCAAGGCTTTGAATCAACTGGTGGCTTGCTTAAATCTTGTCCACAAGGGACAGGCAACTTTCTTCATAAACTGTTTCTTCCTTCTACAAGGATCCTTGACCCCTCCTTGGGCAATCTAACTTAAGCTCTGCTGGCGTGGGCCCCTACACTCGGCTGCCACGAGTGGTCCTTACCAAACAGAGTCCTTTAGTAGATTTCCAAGAGGAAAGAAGGCTTTCAATTCCCAGCGAAGGCTGGCTGTAAAACCGTGGAGCTGTATTTCTCCAGCAAAGAGCTGGCTGTAGAGTTGTGGAACTAAATTCCCCAACAAAGGCTATGCTGTAGTTCTCTGTAGAGCTGTGGGACTGGATTCCCCCAGCAAAGCTGTAAAAGACGAAGCTTTCTACAGGTGGAACTGATTCACGTCCTGTACGAAAGGCTTCTCTGTGTGAACTGAACTAGAGGTCCCCTTTTTCCCTCCTTAACCCAGAAAAAGGGGCGGAACTAAAGAACATAATGATAACTGATGGGTCATTGGCCCTATGAATGCAAACCAAGGGAAGCCACCTTATTGCAGAATGCATGGAACTTTGGAATGCATGCAAACACTCAATAGAAAGGAAAAGAAGTTGGAGCTCCTGGTGCAGCCGTACCAGCACAGAACACATTACATACAAAAGATAAAACATTAGCTTAAAATACATTTAAAACTTTATTATTATTATTATTATTATTATTATTATTATTATTATTCATATAGCTAAATCCAAGTCTGATTTAGCAACTGCCAACCCAGTCCAAATCCTGACATAGTAAAAATTCCAACGTTATGATAACTGCCAAACCTACTGTCCGAAAGCCAGGTCCCCATGTTTTGAGCTTCTTTCTAAAAGAGAGGAGGGATGGAGTTGTCCTAATTTTGCTAGGGAGAGCATTCCACAGGCAGGGGGCCACCACCGAGAAGGCCCTGTCTCTCGTCCCTGCCAAACGCATTTGTGAGGCTGGCGGGACCGAGAGCAGGGCCTCCCCGGATGATCTTAAACTGCGAGATGGGACATATACGTTCAGACAAGTAAGCTGGGCCGGAACCGTATAGGGCTTTATAGGCCAAGACCAGCACTTTGAATTGTGCCCAGAGGTGGACCAGCAACCAGTGGAGCGGTATGTTCCCTGTATGTCACTCCAGTTAGTGGCGCCCCCAGTGGCGCAGTGGGTTAAACCCCTGTGTCAGCAGGACTAAAGACCGGCAGGTCGCAGGTTCGAATCCGGGGAGAGGCGGATGTGCTCCCTCTATCAGCTCCAGCTCCTAATGCTGGGACATGAGAGAAGCCTCCCACAAGGATGATAAAAACATCAAATCATCCGGGAGTCCCCTGGGCTACGTCCTTGCAGACGGCCAATTCTCTCACACTAGAAGCGACTTGGGGTTTCTCAAGTCACTCCTGACATGACAAAAACAAAACAAAAACAAAACCACCCTGCAGCCAAAAAAGAAAAATGAACTTCGGATTGGACTAGTTGGAGTTTCCGAACAAAGGCAACCCCATGTAGAGTACGTTGCAGTAATCTATTTGGGATGTAACAAGAGCGTGGACCACCGTGGCCGGATCAGGCTTGTGGGCTTGTACAAACTTTTCGGGGAAAGGTAATCAAGGAAAAAGACCAAATAATGTCTTAAAACAGTGGTTCTCAACGTTCCTAATGCCGCAACCCCTTAATACAGTTCCTCATGTTGTGGTGACCCCCAACCATAAAATTATTTTCGCTGCTACTTCATAATTGTAATTTTGCTACTCTTCTGAATCGTTATGTAAATATCTGATATGCAGGAGTGTTATGGGAGGATTGATTTTGTCATTTGGGAGTTGTAGTTGCTGGGATTTATAGTTCACCTACATTCAAAGAGCATTCTGAACTCCACCAACGATGGAATTGAACCAAACTTGGCACACAGAACTCCCATGACCAACAGAAAATACTGGAAGGGTTTGTGGGCATTGAACTTGAGTTTTGGAGTTGTAGTTCATCCACATCCAGAGAGCACTGTGGACTCAAACAATGATGGATCTGGACCAAACTTGGCACAATAACTCAATATGCCCAAATGTGAACACTGGTGGAGCTTGGGCAAAATAGACCTTGACATTTGGGAGTTGTAGTTGCTGGGATTTATAGTTCACCTACAACCAAGAGCATTCAGAAGCCCACCAATGATAGAATTAGGCCAAACTTCCCACACAGAACTTCCATGACCAACAGAAAATACTGTCTGTGATGGTCTTTGGCGACCCCTCTGACACCCCTCGCGACCCCTCCAGGGGTCCCGACCCCCAGGTTGAGAACCACTGTCTTAAAAGGTCAAGAAAAACCCAGAAATCTGCCTCTTAGATTAATTTGGCAAAAAAAAAAACCAGTAAAGAAGACATAGACATTTGGCAATATAGTTTTGTAGCTGCAAGAGTAATATTAAAATCATGGAAGTGGAAAAAAGAGCTATTTATAAAGGGCTGGAGAGGAAAATGATTAGACTCTGTCCAAATGGCCAAGCGGCCCAATTGCATTAGAAGAGGAAATAATGAAGACTTTGTCTGGAAATAGAGGCTTCCATTTGAATACCTAGAAAGGAAAACAAAGATGGACTTCAAAACTGTAGCAAGGGAAAGTTATTAATAGGAAGATAAGGGTAGTCAAAGCCATGGTATTCCCTGTAGTAACCTACGGATGTGAGAGCTGGACCTTAGGGAAGGCTGAGCGAAGAAAGATAGATGCTTTTGAACTGTTGTGTTGGAGGAAAGTTCTGAGAGTGCCTTGGACTGCGAGAAGATCCAACCAGTCCATCCTCCAGGAAATAAAGCCCGACTGCTCACTGGAGGGAAGGATACTGGAGACAAAGTTGAAGTACTTTGGCCACATCATGAGGAGACAGCAAAGCCTAGAGAAGACAATGATGCTGGGGAAAGTGGAAGGCAAAAGGAAGAGGGGCCGACCAAGGGCAAGATGGATGGATGGCATCCTTGAAGTGACTGGACTGACCTTGAAGGAGCTGGGGGTGGTGACGGCCGACAGGGAGCTCTGGCGTGGGCTGGTCCATGAGGTCACGAAGAGTCGGAGACGACTGAACGAATGAACAACAACAAGGGTAGATTTTAATGAGATATTAGTTTCACATTTCATAGTGTCAGACGTCATGGGTGGTGGTTCACGGTTGGGTTTGGTGGAGAGATATATTTGTATTATGCGTATTTGATGTACTTCCTTTATTACATTCCATATATCACTTTTACACAATCACATTTTAATGAGATACTAGTTTCACATTTCGTGGTGTCGGACGTCATGGGTGGTGGTTCATGGTTGGGTTTGGTGGAGAGATGTATTATGCGTATTTGATGTACTTCCTTTATTACATTCCGTATATCATTTTTACACAATCAGATTTTATTTAATTTTTTTGGTTGCACCATAAAAGTGAACGAGATGGGCTGGTTGTGTATTGTCGAAGGCTTTCATGGCCGGAATCACTGGATTGTTGTAGGTTTTTCTGGGTTATATGGTCATGTTCTAGAGCAGTGGTTCTCAACCTTCCTAATGCCGTGACCCCTTAATACCGTTCCTCATGTTGTGGTGACCCCCAAACATAAAATTATTTTTGTTGCTACTTCATGTAATTTTGCTACTGCTATGAATCGTAATGTAAATATCTGAAAATACAGGATGTATTTTCATTCACTGGACCAAATTTGGCACAAATACACAATATGCCCAAATTTGAATACTGGTGGGGTTGGGGGATATTCATTTTGTCATTTCAGAGTGGCAGTTGCTGGAATTTATAGTTCACCTACAATCAAAGAGCATTCTGTACTCCACCAGTGATAGAATTGGGCCAAACTTCCCACACAGAACCCCCAGGACCAACAGAAAATACTGGGAGGGTTTGGTGGTCATTGACCTTGAGTTTTGGAGTTGTAGTTCACCTATATCCAGAGAGTACTGAGGACTCAATGATGGATCTGGATCAAACTTGACACAAATACTCAGTATGCCCAAATGTGAACACTGGTGGAGTTTGGGGAAAATAGATCTTGACATTTGGGAGTTGTAGTTGCTGGGATTTATAGTTCACCTACAATCAAAGAGCATTCTGAACCCCACCAATGATGGAATTGGGCCAAAATTCCCACACAGAACCCCCATGACCAACAGAAAATACCGTGGAGGGTTTGGTGGTCATTGACCTTGAGTTTTGGAGTTGTAGTTCACCTATATCCAGAGAGTACTGAGGACTCAATGATGGATCTGGATCAAACTTGACACAAATACTCTGTATGCCCAAATGTGAACACCACTGGAGTTTGGGGAAAATATACTTTGACATTTGGGAGTTGTAGTTGCTGGGATTTATAGTTCACCTACAATCAAAGAGCATTTTGAACCCCATCAATGATAGAATTGGGCCAAACTTCCCACACAGAACCCCCATGACCAACAGAAAATATTGTGCTTTCTGGTCTTTGGCGACCCCTCTGGCTCTCCCTATGTGACCCCCCCGGAGGTCCCGACCCCCAGGTTGAGAAACACTGTTCTAGAGGCATTTTCTCCTGACGTTTCACCTGCATCTATAGCAAGCATCCTCAGAGGTAGTGAGGTACCTCACTACCTCACTACCTCTGAGGATGCTTGCCATAGATCAGGAGAAAATGCCTCTAGAACATGGCCATATAAACTGGAAAAACCTACAACAATCCACTGGGCTGGTTGTATTTGACAGTAGCTAAAGAAAAGGACAGAAGGAGTTAATTCCGTAATTGCAGGATGTTTAGCATGACTCTAGTGCCAAGGCTGCAGGACGGACAATCTTGGAATTGCAACACAAGCCAAGGAAAGGAAGGCCCTTTCAGATTGGTCTCCATATCTTTGCAAATCTAGATATATAAAAATGCTCTGTGCGTAATGAGTACCTTAAAAACAAAAGAACCAATGAACGAAATCACACCAAATTTGGCAACAAAATGTCTCACAACACAAGGAGTGACCATCACTCAAAAAATTATGATTTTGTCATTTGGGAGTTGTAGTTGCTGGGATTTATAGTTCACCTACAATCAAAGAGCATTCTGAACTCCACCAACGATGGAATTGAACCAAACTTGGCACACAGGACTCCTCTGGCCAACAGAAAACACTAGAAGGGTTTGGTGGGCATTGACCTTGTGTTTGGGAGTTGTAGTTCACCTACATCTAGAGAGCACTGTGAACTCAAACAATGATGGATCTGGACCAAACTTGGCACGAATACTCAATATGCCCATATATGAGCACAGATGGAGTTTGGGGGAAATAGACCTTGACGTTTGTGAGTTGTAGTTACTGGGATTTATAGTTCACCTATAATCAGAGCATTCTAAATCCAACGACAGAATTGGGGCAAACTTCCCACACAGAACCCCCATGACCAACAGAAAATACTTAAGGCCATTCAGTCCAACTCCCTTCACCAGGGCAAGAAATGTAATTAAAGCCCTCCTGACAAAGAGCCATCCAGTCATAGATAGATAGATTGATAGAAAGATAAATATGATTCACACACACACAGATATAGTATCATAGATTTGAAAGGGACCCCTAAAGAAGGATAATTATATGTTGCATGTTCCAGAGTAGGCAAACCAGACAATCTCCACATCAACAGTGACAAAGAAACAGCAAGAAATACTGTTTACCCACAAGCAGAAAGACATTACATATATTAGAAATATTAGAAATCAACACCTCATTATTTTCCAGATCACCAGACTGGGTCACGACAACGCGTGGCAGGGTACGGCTAGTTAATATATATTATATCCTCTATCCTTTGAAATGGGGTGTTGGTTTCACAGCTCATCTTGAGTGTTTTGTTGCTCGTGAGATAGACAACACCACTTCGGTTGTGTGTGCTGGTTTGAGTCCCATTCAGGAGAGATAAAGCAGGGTATAAATAAATGGGATTTTGATGATGATGTTGATGATGATGATGATGATGATGATGGTGATGGTGATGGTGATGATGCACTTCTTCTTCCCTCCAGAAAAGCCCTGCGAACTGCATTGCTTCCCTTTTGGGAAGGAGTCTCCTGTGCTGGTATCAGATCGGGTCGTGGATGGGACACCGTGCGGGCCGTATGAGATGGATCTCTGCGTTCATGGCAAGTGCCAGGTGGAGTAACTTCTTTATTACATCCTATAACCCAGTATGTCACACTTCTTAGCCAGTAAACTCCTTTTTGATTGGGAGCCAAAATAACTGTCCCTCAGGCTGTGAAAATGAGGCCATCTTTGAATCCCAGGGACTTGATTTCAGAGGCAAAACCACTTCTGTGTGTTCGTTGCTTAACCCTATAATGCTCACGGAGTCCCCATAAGTCAACATCAGGCATGAAGACACAAGCAGATACACAATTTATTACCTTTCACAGACTTGTAACTTATACACATTGAGTCTTTTGGACGTTAGATTTGGGAGGATTTTGGAATATCTGTATTTGCATAAATGTACACAATAGGGTAGCTTAGAGATGGGACCTGAGTCTAAACATACACCTAATTACTATTTTTTTGTGATGAGTTTTATTTTATTGTTTGTATTACTGTTGTTATTGTTTTTATTACTGATGTATTGTGGGCTCGGCCTCATGTAAGCTGCACCGAGTCCCTTGGGAGATGGTAGCGGGGTATAAATAAAGTATTATTATTATTATTATTATTATTATTATTATTATTAATTATTTATTTCCAACATTTCTACCCCGTCCCTTCAGGGGACTCAGGGCGGCTTACAACAACCCCAATTCGATGCCGACAACATACAACACATTGTATTCTCGAAGGCTTTCATGGCCGGAATCCATGGCTTGTTGTAGGTTTTTCCGGGCTATATGGCCATTACCTCTGAGGATGCTTGCCATAGATGCAGGCGAAACGTCAGGAGAAAAATTGCCTCCAGAACATGGCCATATAGCCTGGAAAAACCTACAACAACCCATACAACACATTACGTACAACATTATACAAAAGATAAAACATTAGATTAAAATACATGTAAAACATTATTATTATCATTTAGTCGAATCAAGGTCTGATTAATGTTGCGAATATGCCTTATATGCACAGCTAAAGGTATTTTATACCACAGTTTAATAATACTGTGCATGAAAGAAAGTTTGCGCACAGTGAACCATTAGGAACCAAAGTTGTCATGATCTCAAGCCGCCAATAAGATAATTTTGAGGTTTGGAGCATTTCAGTTTTGGAATTCAGGATGCTCAACCCTTAATACCGCATTTACTCGAGTACAACATAATGCGATACAATGCGCACTTCAGTTGTGACAATGTAATTTACCAAAAAAGAAGATGTAAATTAGAGTAAATATGATAATTTTATGTGGTCTTATCATTTTGATGATGAACTATATGAAAATAATTCTACAGGTAAAGTATTTCTGCTGGTATGAGAATTTTTGAGTGCTCAGGGGGAAAAAAATCATTTGCACGAATGGGTCAGGCTTCCTAAGCGCAGAATCTGAAAGTAGTTGAGTAGACATCAAGAGTCTATCTCACCCTATGATATGTTAAGCATGATAATACGTACCAGGCACAGGTGCAAGGTGTTCCACCAGGCTTTGGGGGTGATTCCCCCAAAATCTTGGCTGCTGTGTCAGACTGGATGAGGGCTAACAAATAGAAATTGAATCCAGACAAGACAGAGGTCCTCCTGGTCAGTCGACAGGCCAAACAGGGCATAGGGTTGGATGGGGTTATACTCCCCCTGAAGGTTCGCAGCTTGGGAGTGATCCTGGATTCATCCCTGAGCCTGGAACCCCAGGTCTCGGCGGTGGCCAGGGGAGCTTTTGCACAGTTAAAGCTTGTGCGGCAGTTGCGTCCATACCTTGGGAAGTCTGACTTGGCCATGGTGGTCCACGCTCTGGTTACATCCCGAATAGATTACTGCAATGCACTCTACATGGGGTTGCCTTTGAAGACTGTTRGGAGACTTCAYCTAGTCCAACGGGCAGCAGCCAGATTACTCATCGGAGCGTCATACAGGGACCATACCACCCCCCTGCTGCATCAGCTCCACTGGCTGCCAGTCCACCTCCGAGCACAATTCAAAGTGCTGGTCTTGGCCTATAAAACCCTACACGGCTCCGGCCCAGCTTACTTATCCGAACGTATCTCTCTCTATGTTCCACCTCGTAATTTAAGATCTCTGGGGAGGCCCTGCTCTTGGTCCCACCCGCATCTCAAACGGATCTGGTGGGGACGAGGGACAGGGCCTTCTCAGTGGTGACCCCCGCTTGTGGAATTTGCTCCCCAGTGAGATTAGATCAGCGTCCTCCCTCCTTACTTTTAGGAAAAAAACTAAAGACGTGGTTTTGGAGCCAGGCCTTTGGCTAGTGGGCACAGCAGCACTTTAGGCACTGAACRRMGACAATAGGATTGTTTGAAAATTGGAAATGGCTTTATGACCTGTGATMATGTGATTTGTTCTATGTGARTATGTAATTTTAAMMAATATCACTGTTTAATTGTTATGTAATGGATTTTATATTGCTGTTTTATATTGTTGTTTTGATACTGTTGGCATTGAATTGTTGCCTGTGTTAGCCACCCAGAGTCCCCCCTTGGGTGTGAGAAGGGTGGGGTAGAAATAGTCTAAATAAATAAATAATTTCCCCAACACTGAAAGCTTGTGAGGATCTCTAGTGGTCCTCAGGTCTCTTTGAATTTCTGCCCGGAAGTCTCTTGGCCCTCTGAGTAGGAACGGAGTGGCCAATCCTTGGAGGAAATATCTTCCTGGCCTTCAGAACCAGCCATTGTGTTGTGGTACCCAAGAGGTTTTTGATTCAGCTCTGTGGGATGAACAACGAATAGAAGGTGCTTCCCGGAGAAAGCAGACACCTTGTCAACGCAGGGCTCATCCAGAGTGACCAAAAACCTGAGGATTTGGCTGGAGTTGTACCTGTGCTGGTCAGGATCTTTACACATATGTGTTCCCTGTCCCAATCTATTTCTTATGCATTTCCAGGAATAGCTGCAACTTTTTAAAAACCAGAGTTGGCACTGGCTTTTATTCTGTCTTGGGAATTTCTGGTGCAATACCTTGTAAAATTACAACCCCCATGATTCCATAGCATTGAGCCGTGGCAGCTAACACGGTGTCAACCCGCATTCATTTTGCAGTGTAGATTCACCCCTAGTGTGCCTCCTTTGATGTGAACATAGATCTCCCCTCTGAGTGAACCTCTGTCTACACTTCAGGCATGTACAGGGTTTCTCCCCAGTGTGGGTCCTTTGTAGATCAACCCATATGGGAGAGCCTTCTCAGGAGGTGTTCCTAAACCGTGGCATTACCAGGATGGATTCAAAGCGTTGCTGCTAACCAATTTATCTGTAATAGGACTTACTCCTTTACGTTCTAACTTGATCATTACAACAAGATGGAGTTTGGGGAAAATAGACCTTGACATTTGGGAGTTGTAGTTACTGGGATTTATAGATCAGCTACAATCAAAGAGCATTCTGAAACCCACCAATGACAGAATTGGGGCAAACTTCCCACACAGAACCCCCATACTCAAGGCCATCCAGTCCAACTCCCTTCACCAGGACAAGAAAACATAATCAAAGCCCTCCTGACAAAGAGCCATCCAGCCATAGATATAGATAGTAGGCGTGGGCGGTTTCGTTTGTTAATTTCGTAATTATTAATTCGTATTTAAATTAGCTTACGATCCAATATTGAGCCATGCAGGAATAGTGTGAGGAGTAAATTAGATTCGAAACAATTTTTTCAATTTATTTCGTAATTGTTTCGTAATTGTTTCGTTATTATTTCGTAATTATTTTTGCATGTCTGGTTTTATAGTTGTTGTTTGTTTTATCACACCAACAGTCAACAACAGAGGGAGAGGGAAGCTTCAGAAGTTCCCCCTGTCCCATTTGGAGGTTTTTTTTAGCATATTGCGCAATCGCGTCCGCCATTAACGAATCGATTCATAATTATACAAAATTTCGTAAATTTCAAAATTTTTAAAAGGAAAATTTCGGAATTCTTTTAAAAAACGAAACGCGATGGACCCCTAAAAATGAAACGAGTTTAGAAACAATTTTTTCCATTGTTACCAAGGCCTAATAGATAGATATGATTCACACACGCACAGATATAGTATCATAAATTTGAAAGAAACACCTAAAGAAGGACAATTACATGTTGCATGTTCCAGGGTGGGCAAACCAGATACTCTCCACATCAGCACTGACAAAGAAACAGCAAGAAATACTGTTTACCCACAATCATCAACACATTACATATATTAGAAACCAACACTTTCTCATTACTTTATTTTCCAAATCACCAGACTGGGCCACAGCAACGCATGGCAGGGGACGGCTAGCAAGAGAATATAATTAATATTAATATTACAAATACTTGTTGTTGTTTGTTTTGTGGGAGTCCAGTGAATATGGAGGACTGGCTGTAGTGGTTTCATTAATTTTCTTGTTTCAACAAATGCCATTTTATTTATTGCTTTTATATCTGTAGAAAAATATTTTGAGATGCTTGCTCTTTTAAAATCAATGGAGGAATGCAGTTATTTAACCTCTCGTGGCCTCTACTGTTTACATGTCAAAGAAAAACACATTTTGCTAACATATGATTTCCACACCCAGTCGAAGTCAATTGGTTTTCAGCTTGAAAGCCCCCCAGTCGCTTGAGTCCAACTCTGTCAAAAGCTGTGTGAGCAGAATATGAGAAAGTGGCTCCCATCCCTCGCAATGTGCACTTCAGCCAACCCGAACTTCGGTCCAAGAATCACCTGCAGTTTTACTCGCTGGAGATCTGACCTGGTTGTAAAACTTTCCCATAAACGTATTAATAAGTTATTCCTTCCCAAATTTGCTTCCCCTTCCATGTTCTTCTAAGAGATGGGAGCACCTTTTCCTCTCGTTGCGTTATTTCTGTTGCTGCTCATTGTTCCAAGAATTATAATTCAGTCCCGCTAGTTCCAACCACAGCTGGTTACCGAATTCGGTCATGGTGTTTTTAAAGAATCTTCACTCACATGTGAGCTTTGGAAGCCATCCAAAGATGAGAATGCCTTGAGAATTGAGTTACAATAGCCGTCTTCCTTGAGAACATTGCCAGGCTCCAGCA